CCTGATCCGGAGGCTGTAGTTTTAAGCATAGACGTGGGAAGTAGGGAGCCCAAGTTGTAATCCTAGCTGTGACACGTAACAAACAGTTTCAGATTGGGGCTGAAGATTATTTTATCCCGCGGCGTTGGGGGAGTTGAACCACACTGTAAACCCTGTATATGATGGAAACCACTTCAAACTGGGGTGCTACTGCACTCCCAGCACTGCTCGTTCCAGCACCCCGATCTTATCCAACTGATGCTGCAGAGCCCGTGTGGGTAGGCAAGATGACCTGCATAGGGATTTAGCCAAGAGTCCCGACCAAATACCTCCAACTCTTGCAAAAAGATGCAGGAGACCTTTAAAGATTCAAATAATCCTAGTCTTGGTCTTGTGCCTCATCCAACAGACAGCTCCATAAATACCATGGCACCGTCTAGGTAGGTGCTGGGGCAACAGATTTTGAGCTGATCTGGAGGAAACCACCATGTGGTTCTGGCTTGTTTGTTCGGCACTAATAATCAGAAGTTCCCAAACTGTGACCTGATGGCTCTTGGGGAGCGGGCTGGTCATACTGTGCTAACTCCCAGGGATAAATAGAACTAAAAGAGGATACGAATACATAAATCCTTTGCTAATATTACTCTTCTATGTGTGCAATTGCTGTAGTTGCCACAAGAGTTTTACTTGATTATGCATAGGACAGTATCTCCTAAGATGTGCTCCACTCTGTGAAAAAGTTCCTCAACCCCCATCTAAGACATACCCAGCAATACCGTCAGCCTGGAGATTGCTTTCTGGGGTGGGGGGGGTGTCTCAGCTTGGCAGTTAGCAATGTAGGGGGGATTACATCCACCCAGTATCGGTTTGGGACATTTTCCTGTAACATTTCTGCTGTTGATTTTAACAAACAGGTCTACCTTTCTCAGTTCTTATTCTTTGGGCTTTACTTTCTCCTTTGGGTCCTTTTCCTCTGTCCTGCTTCCATCTCTTTTCCTTGTTCCCCTTTCATTTTGCTGCCTCTTCTTCCTGGCTCTGTTGTTCCATTCCCTTTCTTTCTTCTGTGCTGCTTTCCAGCTTGATTTTTCTTTCTGCACTTGAGAGACTCATTGTATTTTAATTTGTGTTTATTATTATTATTTTTATCTTCATCCTTCCAAGCAGTTTTTCTGGCTGTTGACTCCATGAAGTTTGTTCTTCTCTCCCAAAGCCTGTGTGTGATGGGGGGAGGATTGGGACTCGGGGGAGGGGGGGAATCCTGGCGCCAAACCCCGCATTGAACATCAGCGGGCCTGGATTTCACTCTAGGAGCTTGATTTTCAGAGGGGCTGAATCCTCACAATCTCAGTTGAAATCAGTGAAAACGGCAGGTGCTCAGCACCTCTGAAAATCAGACCTTGACTCCCCTTAACCCCGAGGTAGTTTTCTCTGTACCTCGGCACCCCCCAGAATGAAACCTTTGGGCAACATTTAGCCCTGGTATCAGCAATTGCAACTTAACACACGTCAGTGGAGGTGCATCCACTTACCAGCAGGTGTGAATTTGACCCTTTGTCTTTCTGTGCAGCTCTGTGTCCCCTTTACCTCCCCAGCCTGTTTCCTTTCGTGCCAGATGGTTACTTTCTCTTTTAGCTGTACAAGTAGGTGCAGCCAGCAGAATCATTATTCCCTGGCACATTCCTCACAGCTCATGTGCTGAGCCCCACAGTCAGCCAGGGCCAGCACATCCACTGCTGGGCCTGTGCACTGTAGCCCTCTGCTCACAAACCATGAGGACCCTGGCCGTGCCCTCAGGGCGTCTTTAGGGTGGCTCTGTTCCAAGCCTGTTCTCCCCCGAGTTCTGTGCCTGGCGTCTAATCCCTGAGCTGAACCAGGGCGCAGGCTGTTGCTATGAAACCTTTGAGAGGTAACAAAGAGAGATAAACAAAGCAGATCAGTGAGGCAGAAGCAGTTGACACAAAGGTAGAGCCTGACTACAAAACACCTGTGAGCAGGGCGGGGCCGGGGATTGTCATGGCCAAAGTGTGCAGGAAGGCAGGCATATGAGGAGCGCATGATATGGCTGCTCAGTAGGAAACGCTCCATAGAAAAGGAGGAAGGGAAGATCATGGCCAGTGTGGAGAACACAGCTGAGTATCAGTAAGGAGACTGTGTGGATGAAACTCTCTGTTTCTGCAGCCAGCTCCCAGGGCACTGAACATGGTCAGACCTCTCTGAGGTCCTTTCTCTTGCAGGGCAGTTTCACAGAAGCAGGCTCATGAACTAATGCATGTTAGCGTGGGCACCCCCGAGGTTTTCCAGGGGAAGGGTGCAGGCAGGAGAGCGGCACAGACAGCGTGAGCTGAACAAGGGACAGGCACCAAGGAAGACAGAGAAGGGAGCTGTTCCTTGCCAATAGGGCAGTGCTCTTCCGTGGTGCCTGAGCTGGGTTTGTGGAGGTGCAATTGCCCGTGTGGGCATTTGGCCCCCTCTCTGCAATGTTAGCAGCCTTCTGTAAATAGATCATCCTCAGGGTCCTGCCAGCTACTTCCTCTTCCAGTGAGAAGCTGGCCCCCTGGGTAGCCCTGAATCTGCTACTGCTCGGAAAAGATGCAGCAGTATCAACTCGGGGCCTTAGGGCTGAGCGCTATCCAAGTTCTGGGCTTGGAGCTCCTACTGATGTTGGTGAGAGCTGTATGTGCAGATCTAAGACAATCCATGGGCTGGCGTGATGCACGGTGGTAGGCACTAATGGGAGACTGAGGGAGTGCTAATTATTCACTGTCCTGCATCACATGCACATCTTCAGCCTGGCACTGTTATAATGCTGACTTCCCTTCCAGGGCCCTAGCCAGCAGAGCTGGTTCAGCATCAGAGGAATTTCTAGTACATTCCTTGCTGCTCTGTGGGGATCATAGAACGTATCTGTAAGCTCTGTGGGGCAGGGGCAGGTACGCCCAACAGGGCCCAGATCTGTCACTGGGAGCAGTAGGTGCTACTGAGAGAGAAAAGGCCTCTTAGACCACTGAGTCCTTTCCCCCGAAAGTGCCTGACACAGTCCCAGAGGCAATAGCAACCCTACTGTGCCCTTATGGAGCACCTTTAACTCAAACATTAGAGCACTATGGCCATGTGGTGTTATCCCAGTTCT